GTTGCGGTTTAATTTAAATTAAAAATCAGCTCAAAATATATCAGTATTTGTTAAGATATTATTTGGAATTTCCTACTATCGTTTGAAGTACAAGGCTTGATAGGTTTCTAATGGCAAACATAGGATCTTAATCTTCACTCGTATTAAAATGGTCATAACTTTTGAATGATTTAAGCTAGCGAGTTGCAGTTTATTTTAAATTTAAAATCAGTTCAAAATATATCAATATATATCTAGAAATTGTTTGGAATTTGCTTCTGTCGTTTGAAGTACAAGGCTCGAGGGTTTTCTAATGGCAAACATAGGATTTTAATCTTCACTCGTATCAAAATGGCCATAACTTTTGAACGCTTCAAGCTAGCGAGTTGCGTTTTTTTTTTAAATTAAAAATCAGCTCAAAATATATCAGTATTTGTTAAGATATTGTTTGGAATTTGCTAGTATCGTTTGAAGTACAAGGCTTAAGAGTTTTTTAGATAATTTTGATTATGTTACCCATTGTAAAATTTCTAATTTTCAAGTAATTTTTCAATGGAAAAGTTTGAAATTTTATTATGATGAGCTCCTCACTTTCCTTTTTTTCCTGGAAGATTTCAAAAATTTTCTCTTTGCCAGTTTTTTTAAAAAAAATCAAATCTAAGAGGGTGAATTTTCCTTGATTTGGTTTAAAAAGTTAATTTTCCAGAATTTTTCCTAAGTGATTTTTCAATAGTAATATAACTAGTGCAATGGAAATTATTGATAATTTTTGGGAAATTTGCCCGAATGCATTTTTAGTTGAAAAAGAGCACGAGTGCACGTAGTGCACGAGTGCCTTTTTCAGTTAAAAACGCATGAGTGCAAATTTGTCGAAAATTATAAATATATTTCCTTTGCACGAGTTGTATTTAATGAGAGAATTTCATAAATCAAAAATTTAAATTTTTTGTCAAAAAATGTCAAAACACCAGTTTTCGCACCAGTTAGTATGCAATTATCTAATAATTTGCACTACACCTTTTCCAATTGTATTTCAGAAGCTGTCAAATGTATTTCAGAAAGTGTTAAATGTATTTCAGAATAGCCAAATGTATTTCAGAAAGCGTTAAATGTATTTCAGAATAGTCAAATGTATTTGAGAAAGCATTAAATGTATTTCAGAATAGTCAAATGTATTTGAGAAAGCGTTGAATGTATTTCAGAATAGTTAAATGTATTTCAGAATAGCCAAGAGCATTTCAAAAAGTGAAAATTCGGCGAAAATAATTCAGGAGGGAGGCCACAAAAAAAATTACCTACCTATGTCTGTGCAGTTCTTCCTACGTGAGCTCGACTGACCCAACAGGAGCTTAATAGTAGCATTTAACTATTCTGAAATTCATTTAACACTTTCTGAAATACATTTAACTATTCTGAAATACATTTAACGATTCTGAAATACATTTGACGCTTTCTGAAATACATTTAGCTATTCTGAAATACATTTGACGCTTTCTGAAATACATTTAACTATTCTAAAATACATTTGACGCTTTCTGAACTACATTTGACTATTCTGAAATACATTTGACACCTTCTGAAATACAATTGGAAAAGGTGTAGTGCAAATTATCGCTTAATTACAATCTGATTGGTTCAAATCAACAATCAAAACATGTCAATTTATTGTTGGAATACCAGTTTTGACAGATGTATGAAATTCTCACTTGAAAATTCTAAAATTTTCCTATAATAGACTCTTCACTTTCTTCTTTCTCCTCGAAATTTTTTAAAATTTTCCCTTTTTCAGTTTTCCAGAAAAAAAATAAAAGGTAAGAAGTGAATTTTCCTTGAAAAAGTCAATTTTCCAGAATTTTTCCTGAAGTAATTTTTCACCGGAAAATTTTGAAATTCCTTTGAAATGAGCCCTTCACTTTCCTCTTTTTCCTGGAATATTTTAAAGATTTTCCTGTCGCCAGTTCTCTAAAAAAAAAAAAAAATGTAAGAGGGTGAATTTTCCTTGATTTTGTTTAAAAAAGTTGATTTTCGAGAATTTTTCCTGAAATGATTTTTCACTGGAAAATTTTTAAATTCTGCTGAAATGAGCTCCTCACTTTCCTCTTTTTCCTGGAAAATTTTAAAGATTTTCCCGTCGCCAGTTTTCTAGAAAAAAAAAATGTAAGAGGGTGAATTTTCCTTGAATTTGTTCAAAAAAGTTAATTTTCGAGAATTTTTCCTGAAGTGATTTTCCACTGGAAAATTCTAGAATTTTCCTATAATGGACTCTTCACTTTCTTCTTTCTGCTGAAAAATTTTCAAAATTTTCCCTTTTTCAGTTTTCCAGAAAAAAAATAAAATGTAAGAGGTGAATTTTCCTTAATTTTGCTTGAAAATTTCAATTTTTCAGAATTTTTCCTGGAGTCATTTTGTACTGAAAAATTTTGAAATTTTCCTATAATGAGCTCCTCACTTTTCTCTTTTTCCTGGAAAATTTTCAAAATTTTCCCATTGCTAGTTTTCCAGAAAAAAATTAATTAACAAGAGACTTCATTTAATTTTTAAAAACCTAGAAAATTCTTGGAAAATCGGAAAATTAGGGGAAAAAAAGTTGGTTTTTGGACTTTTTGGAATCCCCTCTTCAAAATGGCTATCTTGAAATTTCGAAATTTTGATTTCGATTTTTGGCTCTATCCTTACCTATAACATGGGGAACTCTTGAAAATGACAAAAATCCCAACTTCAACCGGCCATAGCTCCGTAATGGTGAGTCTTGGAGGAAAACTTGTCAAGGGCAGATTGTAGAGCTCGTCGACATCTACAAAAAAGCTCATTGAGTCTTACCTCTACGACTTACCATTTCCGAGATATTTTACGTTGGTTTTTTTTTTGGCCAAAAAATCAAAGTCAAAATTTCTCGGACTTTCTTTCATAACGTCATAGAGGACGTCCAGAGAAATATCGGAACCTACTTTTCCCCCCTCAATTTCCGTTTTTCCAGGAGTTTTCTGCGCTCTTTTATACCCCACAAAATGGAAAATCAAAATTTTCCGAATTTTAGAAAAACAAAAATTCCAGTGTATAGAGAAGGTCAAGGCAAATAGAAAAGCTATTTGGCATTTTCCCCTAGGATGTCTCCTAACTCTGGAAAAAAAATCAGTAAAATCCCTGAGGGAGACTTTTCCTGCCTGACATAGTCTCATTAAATCGGCCATAACTCTGGAACGCCTGAATCGATTTCAATAAATCGTGTTGCATTCGATACAGGATTAAATTTCCTACAAAATGGCTTTATCCAGAATTATTCAGTTTCCAAGTTATAAGCTTTCAAAGTTGAAATTTTCCCAAAAATAAATACCAACTTTGTTTCAGATGGAGTTCCAATTTCCAGGACAACTCCTAGTGCCCTCTTGTCCATTTATTGTTGTTAATTATGGAAGAAAATAATCTCCAAATCTCCTGTGAATGATTTCAATGTAGCTTCAGTAGTTTTTTAGCTCCAAAGTCTTCTTCACTCGTTTTAAAATGGTCATAACTTTTAAACGATTCAAGCTGTTTGGAATTTGCTTCTATCATTTGAAGTACAAGGCTTGAGTGTTTTCTAATGGCAAACATAGGATTCTAGTCTTCACTCGTATTAAAATGGCCATAACTCTTAAACGATTCAAGCCAGTAGCGAGTTGCGGTTTATTTTAAATTAAAAATCAGCTCAAAATATATCAATATATGTCAAAAAATTGTTTGGAGTTTGCTTCTGTCGTTTGAAGTACAAGGCTTGAGTGTTTTCTAATGGCAAACATAAGATTCTAGTCTTCACTCGTATTAAAATGGCCATAACTTTCGAACGATTCAAGCTAGCGAGTTGCGGTTTATTTTAATAGAAACACATATTATGAACCAAGACTGACTGGCTTTCAGTTGACAACTTCGTACGCCTTCTAGGAGATAATGTTGCTGAGACATTTAATATAATCCAAGAAGGAAATGCCTTATTCGAAAGTGCGGTGGTATCCCAAAGTGTAGATTATTTTGAAATTAAACTTCATAAAGAACTCTTGCTAATTATAAACACAGATGCACATTATGGACAGGACAACAAGTATTTAATGGTGTTTTTATTTTTGTTGCATGACATTCCATAATCTCATCGGGTTTTGAACCGCTTTCTATTATAATATTAGGATTTTTCGTGGATGCATTAATTTGATTAGACCAATATTGAATAAAACCATTGTTTCAACAATTTCGAAAATTAGACATTCACGACCCCTGTTTTTATTAAATTTCAGAAAAACTCTGTACAACACATAACTAAAGTGTTTTTCCACTTCAAAAGTGGATTTTAAATATGAAGCAACTTTTTCGAAATTCGCTTTAATGAAGTTTTTCTACAAACGTGTTAAAAATGCTATTTTTAAAACCCCCCCGAAGCATTAAAAAGGTTACTTTATCGCACTAGTGCCATAAAGTCTTTATAGCACTAGTGTTAAAAATGAAACATCAAATTTTGAGAGCGATCGTCAAAAAAAGTTTGTATTTTCAGTTATTTACATTGATATTAATGGTGAAATTTGAACAACTGAGGTAGCCCGATTGGCCGCCTCATGTATATTTTTCAAGGGATCGATGCAACCCTCTTTTTCTTCTGTATTTTGTTGCATTTTAAGCAAAAAGCATTACTGACCACGACAGACTTTCAAGCAACTGACAAGACATTTCATTACCTGTAAAACAAGGTGCTGGTTGTTTGGACTTTTTGACAAATGTCAAATTCAGTAATTTTATGTAGGAAAGATGCTTCCAATTTATTATTCATTTAAAAATCCAATTTGTTACTGGTTATTGCTTTTTATGACCGTTTGTAGAAAAAATATTGTATGATATTTGTGTTAAAAGTATTTTTAAGGCACTTATGTGAATTGCAGAATTCGCTTCGCTCATTCTGCAAACTTTCACAATGGTGCCTTAAAAATGTACTTTTAACACTTATATCATAAATAACTATTATATTGATGAGTGCATTGAATAAGGTTATTTTTAACGTGTGGAAATGTATTCTAGTGTGCTAAAAACTCAAATGAAGCTATGCCTTTTTTATGTCTGTTCCTTAACTAACTTTCAGCGAATCAAGCGATAATATCTTTTGCAATTTGAACTGAAAAAAACGTTCGAAAATGGCCTATATGAAAACCGGGCGGATTCCTTAATGGCTCATGTGTTCATTAAAAGGATAACATTCTCAATTCAAACATTTATTAAGTGACAAATAAAAATAATAACAAAGCTATTTACAAAAAAAGAAAATCATTAAAAGATGCAGCCATCTCTAAACAACGGCATAGTTAAGTGGCGCTGCTATCCTTGCCGCTGGAGCTGGGAAACCTAATTGAGCTGGATAACTTAATTGTGCTGGATAACCTAGAGGAGCCGAATAACCTAAAGGTGCTGGCGCAGCAAACAAAGGAGCTGACCTCGCAACATAGGGAGCAGCTACCGCTCTAGCAGCTACAATTGGCGCAGGAGCAGCTACAACTGGAGCTGGAGCTGCTACGGCTCTAGCAACAACTGGAGCAGCTACAGCCAATGGAGCTTTACGTACAACAGCGTTGAATCCGTTGATGGGGTCAGCAGTGTAGTCGACAATTCTTCTGGTACCGTCAGGGTCAGCTAGACTGTATTGTCCTTGGACGATGTCTCCGTTTCTGCTTTCAATTTGGCTTTTGCTGTCTCCAGTTAAACTATCTTGGACGTCGTAGGCGAAAGAGTACTGAGGGTTAGGATCAAAAGTGGCATCGGATACTTTGGCTAGTACAGCTGAGGGGGCTGCTACGACGGCACCGCCGTGTAACACTCCACCCCTTGCTACTGCTACGAGAGCGGCCAAAACCAAGAACTGAAAGGAAAAGTAAAGATATTTTAATATTGATATACAATGATGAGTCATGAATATTCAAGAAAACAAAGTTTAAAAAAGGCTGCTTCACAATTAGTCCCAAGTCTCTTTTTTTTTCGTATTATTAATCCATATATGAAACACTTGCTTTAACACTTTGACACTTCAAACACTTTCAACCTTTTCGTTTACGTACCTTAACTGCCATGTTTAATTGTTTAGTATATATTCAGCTAAGATTGACTGATAATAAAAATTGGTCAACGGCAGCTTTTATACCTCCTTATTACTTTACATAACTTTCCAAACACTGACACGTACTGAATCTAAATTAGAATATAACTACGAAATTCTTTTCAAGGTATTGACGAGTGAGTGATACTAATTTAAAAAAAGGATCGACGAATCTAGGTCCCAAATTTCTATGTAGATCGTTGGTTAAATTTTCGTCAAGAGTAAAAAGTATTATCACATTAATAAACAAATCCTCACATAGACATTTACAATATATTATAGGGTAATAGAAGTCGCTCCCCCTTGTATTTAAGCGTAATAAATCAGGGGGTCTAACACCGCTACTGCAGCTACCAAGTAATTATACTTTGCCATTGCTGAAGCTGATAATAATATGGCTGCTGCAGCTGAATGCTGTCATCGCATAGTTTTGGATTGGATTCTTTAATAAGTTCTATGATAAAGTTGAAAGCCTTAGGGATAAACGAAAACTTGATGATAAAGTTCGAGTTTGTTGCCTAAATAATGCTTTTCTTGACATAATACTCATTTCAAGAAAAAACTGAGTTTCCAGGTAATTTTCGAATAATTATAGCTAGTTTGTAGCAAGCAGATTCTGTTAAAAATTCAAAGCAAACCAATCTTCATGCAATTTCTTTTAATTTCAATGGTTATTTAATTATTAAATACAAAAACAGTAAAGCATCTTATCAAATTAATCATGAGTTAGCTTAAAATATTATGATGTTTCCCCATACGAAAGAGTCAATTGGGTTCAGATCTGGGGTGTTACGTGAGCACATTTCCTGTCCTATGTAAATAATCGGGACAAATACATAAAGCAATAATATGAAAACATCAGCCCAAGGACTGCAAACAGCCTATGATTTGTTGTATTTCACAGCTTATCACTTTTCCAGTTACCTAAAGCGTTCTTTAGTTGATGTATATGTACAATATGTTTCGGTCTTCCTTCTACATCTTGCGATTCCCGATCTTCAATCCTCTTCAAAGCCTGTGTCTCTCTTTTTCCCGTCTACTCCACTTCGCTCCAGCTTCTTCTTGGTCTGTCACGTTTTATCCTCCTAGCTTCCATTCAATGATTTGCTTGGGTATTTTCGTATCTGCCATTCTTTGTGGTATGATAAGTATTACGATACAATAATAAAAATCTATTTATTAATAAATTAACATCCATACCTGGATTATCATGCCGATTTCATAGTTTTAACAGCATTTTTCGCTAAGCCGTTTGTCGCTGGATGCTGGATGATATTGTGCCCTAGTTAAATGTTTAACGCCACTTCCACAAAGAAAATTTTGGAATTCCTCTGACATAAATGTGGTAGCATTATCAGTACATAACTGTATTGGAAGTCCATACCTAGCAAAAAGTTCCCTGAAAATTTTTATTGTAGTGGTGGCAGTTATGTTATTAACCTCATAACACTCAATCCATTTTGACGCTGCATCAATTACCACTAAAAATTTTTTGTTGAAGACTGGCTCAAAAAAATCTGCTTGTAAGCGTGTCCATGGTTATTTTGGCCACTCCCACACTTCTAATAAAGATGTTGGTGCAATATTTACAAAAATCGCACAACAATTACATTTCTTAGACAAAAGTTCTATTTGAAAATCTATTAAAGGCCACCAAACAGGATCTTGCGAGCGATTTCATTTTGACTATTCCCATATGTGTAGAATGAAGTTCGTTTAACACCAAATCTTGCAATTTGGGTGGAATAATAATTAATCTGAAACCCCACAATATACATCCTTGTTCAATGCTTAGTTCATTTCTTTTATTGAAATAAGGTTTAAATCCCTCAGATGGATAAACATTTGGCCATCCAGAGCGTAAATAAAAAAGTACCTTAGACAAGACCGGATCTTTATTTGTTTCGTTTTTTACTTGAGAAAAATCAATAGGTATTTGACCTTCTTTCACCAAATTCAAATAAGATACTTCGGAATTTATTTTTAAACATAATATTTTGTCGTCCTCGTACTGAACCGAATTCATTAAAGGACTTCTAGATAAAAAATCTGCTGTATTTTTAGCAGAACTAACATAATTTATGTCGAAAGTAAATGCGGACAAAATATGAGCCTAGCGTTGCAAACGATTTGCTGCAAAAACCGGTATTCCTTTTTTTTTCATCAAAAATGGTCAACAAGGGTTTATGATCGGTTATCAATAAGAATTTTTGATTATAAATATACCTACTGGAAAAACTTCTTTACTCCAAAAATAATAGCTAACGCCTCTTTTTCAATTTGTGAATAAGAAACTTCAGCCTTATTCAGAAGACGTGACGCAAAAGCTATTGGTTTTGCTATATTATTGTCAAAAACATGACTTAAAGTGGCCCCCAAAGCGAACTGAGATGCGTCCACTGTTAATTTAATTTTTTTAGAGGGATCAAAATGTGTCAAAACCTTTGATGACAATAACATATTTTTAAATTTTTCGAAACTTTTCGAGCATTCTAATGATCAATGCCACTTTGCATCTTTTTTCAATAGACTATATAAGGGTTTTTATATATCCGAAGCATTTTGAATGAATTTACAATAATAATTTATCATTCCCAAAAACGACTTAAATTCAGTGACATTTTTAGAGACGTCACATTTTTTAATTGCTATTACTCTCTCTTCCGAGGTATGTAAACCTGCTTTGTCAATTCTGTGACCAAGATAATTTACAGAGTCTTGAAATAGCGAACATTTCTCTTTCCTAACTTTCAAACCACATTCTTGAAGTCGACGGAAAACATATTCTAGGCGCTCCAAGTGTAAAAAATCGTTTTCCCCAGTAACCAAAATATCGTCCAAAAAACAAACAACTCCCGGACATATAAATATTTGTTCCATTATATTTTGAAATATGGCAGGAGCGCTCGTTATTCCAAACGGTAATCTGGTGTAAGAAAAAAAACTCTTATGTGTGGAAATTGTCACAAGTTTTCTAGATTCTTCTGTAAGCACAATCTGCTGATAAGCTTCAGACAAATCTATATTGGAAAACTTTTGTCCACCCTGTAATTGTGCGAATAAATATTCGACGCGAGGTAAAAGAAAATGAACATTTTCTAAAAAAAGGGTTTAATGTTATTTTAAAATCTCCGCATATGCGTATATCCCCATTATTTTTTAAAACTGGTGCAATAGGAGTTGCCCATTCTGAAAATTCATTTTTTACCAACCCACCATTTTGCTCGAGTCGGTCAAGTTCTTTTTCTATTTTAGGCTTTAAAGCAAAAGGAATTGGCCTTGATTTGCAAAATTTTGGAATTGCCCCATTTTTTACATTTATGGTAACTTTTAAATTTATGTGCCCTGTAAGATTTTTTCAGGTAATGACCAACGTGAATACAGGGACACAACGGTCCCTGTTTGGGAATCGGCCCACTGAGCAGTGGACTCACGCTTCCCGTGCCAATCCTTGACTTGTTGTCCGCCTGAGTCCACCAAATATTATTTCTTCAAATCTTACCTTCTTAGGAAAACGTTTACTGAATGAAAGTAAATGTTGCAACCACGTATGCGCCCTCAAGTTTAGGATTGAACGAGCGCGCGACAGAAAACGAAGGTACCGAAACCAAAGAGGATACAAGAGAATACACAGCTAGACTACAGAACAAGCTGGACTGGTACCTTAGAAAACGTGTCGCGTGTCTGTAATTATTCATTATTCAATTTTAATTTTTATTTTGCATTAAAATTGATTTTTCAATCCAATTTGTTATTAGTGTGTGTGTAAGAAGCGTTCACAGGTTAGTTGATTAATTATTATTTTGTTTGTGAGAGTTCAATTTATACAAATATAATTTTTTCCATTTTTATGTTTTTTTGTTTGTTTATTACTTTTTTTATCCCATTTTGACGTTTAAAAAGGACATTATTGAACGCATAATAACAAAGGTAAGTAGACGTTTATCACCTGAGTGACTTAAAATATTTTTAACTCACTCTCGGTCTTTTAAGTCACTCTGCCAGTATAAAAATCTGCTACAAATACAAACAAACAACTAGTTATACCTTAGCAACCACCAATTTCAATAATAAGCGCTTTCATAACTACTAAATGAATTCTGTTTATAATTTGATTCCTATTAAGAACCTTATTTTTTGAATGTCCATCAAAATGGGATAAAATTTTGTATAAATCACATGAGTTAAAATGTTTATTCATTCGAAGAAAATTAACCCACTCGCTAAAGCTCGTGGGTTAAACTTTCTTCTCATGAATAAACATTCATTTAACTCACTTGGTGTATAAATAACTATTTTATAACATGTGCATTGTTCATGTATTTAACAAAAATCGTTTCATGCTGTAACATCGATAAAGAAGTAAATTAAAACCTAAGAAATTATATGCTATCTTTTTGTGCTGGGATTTAGATTTTTGGATTTAGAGCGTGCATTAGGGCCTTGTTGAATTTACTAACATTTTCCTACCCTGACGAGAGAATATCTTAACAAATTGAAATAATCAATCTAGAGATATTGGCTTAAAAACAACTAAAGCTGTGAGTTACCATAACCAGGGACCTCAGTACCTGCCGCAAATGGGCTAACTAACCAAAAACTCTCCAGTATCAAATATAGGTAGTGTTGATTGAATGTTGTGTGTGTAATTGAAATTTTAGCACAAGAACAGGGGCGGTACCTAATTTAAAATTTCATTGACTTAAATTATGGATTTATTGACTCACAATTATTAAAATTAGACAGTATGTTTCGATTTTTGAGGAATGGTAAATCGAGGGTTTTTCTGCCGTGCTCTTTCCCCTCGTTAGTTCCAGGATGGGAACGGTACGATTAACTTTAATAATAAAGTAGACCTTTCACAAATTTTTCGTTTCACTTTGTTATACGACGACTTAGATTACGGAGATTCCCACTGTCCCTACCCACATAACTATGCACGCTGGTTCACTGGTGCATTTCAGTTAAAACCCACCGAACTGTCATG